CTGGTTCTGCATTTCAGCAACAAGTAAAACAGAGATCAAATTTGAAAAACTTGGTGAATTTCTATGCCTTATATTGTTGCTATAGGACAATATTGGTTGCATGGAAGGTCGAATAGGTCTTATCCAGGAGATCTAATTCAGGTAGTTCCATTTTGCTAAATTTCAACAGTGAACGGATTCTACAAATTTCAAAGTTGTATTCATTCACGAACTTAAAGTCCTAGAAGCGAAGATGATGCCAATCGTGTCTTGCTTCAGGCAAGTATATGTCTTTCTGGTGATCGAAACGATAAGCCAGAGCAAGCCAAAGGGTGTGTGGGTCCTCCTCAGCGAAGTACTCGGTCTGCAGTGCATTATGGATGTGTCTTCGAATGAAGATCATTGCATTAGCTTTCTGAGCTTCGTCAACAGGTTTGTCGGCGACGGATGCCTCGATGATGGCTCTAATACCCTTTGCAGTGAGATGAAGCTTCACATCTTAAACCTACTTTAGATAGTTTCTTTCGGAGACTTCTAGAGCAGAGAAATCGAGCTTGTTCAAGTTCGACATGTCCCTAAAACGGAGGGAAAAAACGTGATTAGTCATATGGTAAGCCATAGACATATATCGTAGGACATACATGTTCTATAGACATGTATTGGTTTAATTTGTGCATGAAAACTTCGGGTTTCAAATGCACTAAATTTGAAACTACATGTTCAATTTAGTTTTATGAACAATTAGTTCATAATGAGAGGTTTCTGCAAGAAACATAGAATGCAATATACTAATTTAAATATAGTGGGTTTGAGTTTCTTCTGGAACTCAAGTGTGAGAGCTTTGTTACTACGAAAGTATGTCAATGGTTCAAAATATAAAAATAAATTGTTGAATCGTTAATGTCTAAAAGTCATATTTAGGTTGATAATTTTGGATTCATTATCAGATTAATGGACTGCAGGTCACTTTTAATTAATTCATTAAATCGGACCATACGGGGTCGATTATAGAAGCAAAATAATTCTAAAATAATAGTATTGGGTCGAAAATACCATAGCCCAAAAAATAGGGTTGTGTACCTTGAGCAAAAGGGCTCGAAGGTGGGCTGTAGGCCATAGGTCGGGTTGGAAACAAAAAACCCAGCAGCAGGGATGCTGGCTTTGGGCCTCAAAAAGAGGCGGGAAACTTGGGCCCAGCACGAGGCTGGCCTAAGTGTGGCGCGGGAAACCCCAGCTAAGCTAAGTTCGGTTTAGGTCGTAATGGTGAGCCCAGCTGCATGGGTTAGCTGCTTGTTATGAGGGCCAGGGCTAAGACAAAGCCCAGCAAGCATGACAGCTTGCTAGCGTAGGCCGAGACCAAGAACTGGGGCTGCAAGCACGTGTCTGGGAACAAACCCAAAATGCTTCTGGCATGCGGGTTTGGGCTTGGGTGGACCAGGCCTTTCAGGCTCGTGTGATAGGGAACCCAAGCTGAGGCTTGGTTATGTCCGAAAGGGAGCAGCAAGCCTAGAAGGTTGCGCAGGTGGTCCAGGGCGTCGGGGCGACGCCATCCCACAGGTACCGTTTGGTACGTGGGACGGGACAAAACAGAGTGGGACAAGGTGTTCCGTCTCACGTTTGGTGTGCCTAAAATGGGTGGAACGAGCTGTTCCACGGGACGAGTTTTGGGTGAATTTTCGTTCCACCTCACCCCCCTGGAACGACTCGTTCCACATCCGTGGAACACAAAATTATAACCTCTCCGTCTCCTTCTTCTTCCTCCTTGTTTCCATCCGAGGGCATCTTTGCTCTCGCTCCATTCCGTTCCGTCCTGTCCTGTCCCGTCCCATTCTGTTCCGTCCCGTCTGCATACCAAACGATACCACAGTGATGCCGCAATAAATCACCCGATTTGTTTTTTTTTTCGAATCTAAGGTTGAAAAACCCTAATTGCTTTTAATTTATGAATATACTTTGACTCACATATTCCGCATAGCAAATATAATTGCGTAATGCATGAAACAAATATATAAACATATACAATATATATATATATATACACACACATCTTAAGGACAATATAAACATAAAAGGGGTTCATGCATCATGGGGAATGTTTTCATGATTCGTGGACGTTTTAAATATCTTCTTTTATTTTAAGCGTTTCTTGTTCGTGAGTCTTTCAAGATAATTGTATCAAAATTCCAAATCTTTCTACCAAGCCGTTTGACCGTGACGAAGAAAAGAAAGCCCAACGTGCAGCTTTCCTGTATTGACATTTTTTTACGTTTTGGGTATTTTGGAGGTCAAGATGGTATATTTTAAGGAAGGTTCCTTCTAAGGATTTGTTGGGGACGTCTTCAGCTTTCAAAAGAGACATTTTAGAACCACATTGGAGTTGATTTGGTCAATCAAAAGTCTTCTTCTTTTTTTTTTTTTCTGAAGTCTGAATTTGACTTTAAATAAGAAACCTTTTATTAGCTAATTTATTATTTTATTATGTTTCCTAAGACTTTTTTAGGTGGGATTTTATCTTGCAGTAGCACAAATAAGGCTATTTGGCCATTAGATTGAGGGCGCACTACTTTAGAGAACTCGGTTAGAGAGCTTTTGTCAATTCAAGTTTATTTACACAGTGTTTTCTATCCATGTTCTTAATAATATTTTGCTTTATGATTGTGTGTAACTAATTTGTTTTGTTAGGGCGAGGCCATGAGTCTTAGCATGAATATGTAGTATTTATTTCATTGCTTATGATATTATGTATGTATACTTTGAATTATTAATCTACTGTGTTAAATTGTCTTTATGTCTTGATGACTGGCCACCATTAGGATGTTTAGATAAGTAATCAGATGCAATTCGGTAGGAATATCACCGGAGAATTAAGTAATTCTTCTTGTGGTTAATAATTGTAATTTCACTTAAGATGAATATCACGCTTTTGGGGATTGCATGGTTTTTCAAAGGATTTTCACAAAACTTAATGAGTCTTGCATGTTCATATTATATCTAAATATTACAGACATATTGCATGTTAGATATACGTTCTTACTTGAATATCATAAGGAGAATATGTATTAGGAAAACCTAACCTTCAAAGTTGCATGTGTAATTCATAAGTAATTGGTTAAACTACATACGATTGTTAAGGTGACGACAGGACCCTAGTGCTTAAATTGATTTTCAAACTATTTTCTATTGTTTTTTTTTTTTTTAACTTTGCCAATTTAATTAATTGTTTTTATTTAAATTTGTTTTTAATATTTTAAGTAACAAAATCAACATTTTCCAACCTTTGTTTTAGGTAGTTAATTAAGAATTGGCTTAATGCAAATTGTTCATTCAATTCTTGTGGAGAATGATCTTGCTAGAGCCGACTATACTACAATTACCTTGTTTTCTTGCAAGTATTTTTAAGTGTTTTCATTCCTACTTTTGTAGGTAGTAAAAATCTTATTACAAACCTATGGCTCGAGACATCAATTGTCAATATAATTGTGTTGACCTTCAAAATTACAAAGTCTATGTGGCACACAAGCTGAGTCACGATTGAGCTAACTATGTTCTTCTTGTGAATGCAGGCATGCTAACTAGCGACCGAGTTGGTCGGGCGAGTAAAGTAGGTGTGGTGGTAGTGTCAAACGTGCTGTTGACAGAATACTCAATGACTACGATCGAGGAATGACGCCTCTCAGCCCAGGGTTCTAAAACCTAAAGACAAGATTACTTAATTCATTGTGAAGTTCAGGATCTTCTGCGTTGGGTTCAGCAGCTTCAACTATATTTATGAGAATATAAGTACACCTGGTCAGTTTCAGGCTAAATGGGCAAAGATACTCACAGGAGACGAGTGTCCTTATGGTGAATATGATTCAACCGTATGATGCTGAACTCTGAAATATACTTGCAAGTAACTAATCATATAACACTTCACTTCAATGGGGAAACTAATGAAGTGACCTCTTTCAACGAAAGAATCAAAGACTTTTCGCAAGCTGAGACTTAGATAGGTAACCAACAGAACTAGAAGTAATGATGTTTTGCCAAACTGAAGATACTCTTAGGCCGACTAATTCTATGACTCTAGTGATGTTCACCCAAATTGAATATGTTGCTACTTTGCCAATCCGGTGATGCTTAACCAAACTGAATATGTGCTAACGAATGGGTTCGGATAATTAGTATTTTTCTCATAGTTATGAAAAGGTTTCATGTAGAGCATTATGAGTTATTTGTTGAGTTGAAGGGGCTTCTCACGTTGTAGAACCACTTCTATTTATAGGGAGATTTCGTGATAACCAAGCTTGCTAAGGTAAAGTCCTAATATAACTATGCCTTTTTAGCACCCACCTGGGTGTTCGTGACGTTATCTCTTCAATCCCCTCTTTAACCGAAACTCATTATGCACTTAATTCATTATTTATAACCATAGATTTTGATTCCTAAATAATTCGAATCTTATCTAAACCCATCCTAATCCTTAGCAATTTTAATTCAACCAGGACTCGACCGGGCCACGTCTAAGTCTAACCCTTAGTAATCCTACTTCCACTAGAACTCGGTTGAATCATGCTTTTCTGAGCGAAGAAAGCCAAATGACTTGAAGGATCACCATTAGGCCCAGAGTCATGACCTTTTAACTTGAATTACCTTTCCTCGGCCTAAATCTGATATTTCAGACTCAAACAAATTGATTTCTTTTAGTTTCGAACCTTAATTACTTAGGAGTACTAGATATACCTTTCATACATTATTTAACTCTCTCCTAGTCTGTCTTTGCATGCTTGTGTGAGAAGATAGGGTACATGGTCCAGCTAGGACTCCTCAACTTGTTGGAGAAAATAAATCCCAATAAGAGATCAGATCGCCACTATCATGTGATCTCTCAAAGTCTCAAATTCAAGTTCCAGATATTTATAATTGCCGACTGTTAATTAGTTCTTGCTTAGAGATAGCATCCCCATTGCTCGATCTGTATGAAATTTAAGACATTCTTTATTATGTGGCACAGCCTAGCTCGTTAAGCAATAACAAGCCTTAAGTAAACAAGAGCTAAGTTTATCTTAAGTATTCTGCATCATTAATTAAATAATTGTTTTGCAATGTTGGCATCACCTGGTGGAACCAATCCATACCATCCTGAGTATCGTAGAACGTTACAAATGGTGATGATAAAATTCCCTCCTCGCTCAGGTGTGTAATTGGATAGTACTCACTTTGGACGTCATTCATCATATTGTCCGGCTGAAATGGTTCGGTCCAAAAATCTCCACTCGATTTGTCTAATATTGTTTCTGATGAAGCTCGAGTACCATCTTCAGCAGAGAAATAACTAACGATAGGTTGATCATGTCCATGATTTATGTTGGAGCTCAAGGAGGAGTGACCACTGGAAAATGTTTCAGGGGACAACGGAGAGCTCTCCAAAATTTGGTGACCATTATTATCATGTTTAGGAGCACTTTGAGCTTCTAATTCTGTATTTTGGCTAGTTACTGATGGGGCATCACTTGACTGCTCTGTCGTTTGAGATAGTGCTGTTGAATTTTGCTTTGTGAGCTTCTTAAAATAGGTATGCCAATGATTTTTAATATCATTGTCGGTTCTTCCTGGTAATTTAGCAGCAATCGTTGACCATCTACATATTGAGGAAATAAATTTTCATTATAAAACGACCAACATTTTATGGCGTTCCTAATAGATCATTATCGTTATAGAAGTGTTATGGACATTTTCTTTGTAAACTTATGTATAATTAGTTACTTTGAATATATAATTAATTCATGAACTAAAGAAGAAATCATACTTGTTCCCGAATTCTTCATGTAATTTGATGATCAAATTGTTTTCTTCTTGAGAGTAGTTTCCCTGTTTTACACCCGGTTGAAGATAGTTCATCCATCTTAGTCTGCAACTTTTACCACACCTTGCTAAACCTGCAGTGAGATTATATGCAAAACAAACCAGTACATTTGATCACTACATCACTCCTTGAATTGTCTGATAAATCATGCATGCTTCTTGCTTGAAGGTTCCTTAACTATATATGTGATCGAAACCAAAAAGCTAAATGATGATGAGTTTTGGAAATTATGGTCAAATTAGTCGCACATACTATCATAGTTGAATGGGATGAAAAAAAAAAATTCATAAATTAACCCAGAACGTTGTAGTCTTGTAGATAACCTATGTTATATGAGATTAAGCTTAAGAAAATTCTTTGAAGACACAATAAAGATGTTATTTTATGTACTTACCAGCAAGTTTGGGAAGTGCACGCCAGTTCTTGTGACCGTGCTTATCAACATAAGCTTTTAACATACTGTCTTCTTCAGGACTCCATGCTCCTTTCTTTAGCCCATTTTTGTCATAGAAGGGCGCTCTCACCATCTCGTCGACTCCTCGCTTTCCCTCTCTGTTTTTTTATTTTTTTATTTTATCAAAATAACACTCGAGCAGTATTTTCCCACCCACATAGACACACATATTTATATGATTAGAGTGAACATGCGGTGACTGTAAAATATCACGTGAAACGGGAAGAAGAGGTAAATTCAATAGCTATAGGAAAAGAGCATTAATCTTTTTATCATTTATGAAACGTGTGCTAATTTGACCGAAGATTATAAGTGCTTTTCTTAGCGATTTCTTTGAGAACTTTTTTATTATTATGCATACCGGCCGCCACAAGGTGATTCCTTGGCAACATGATCGTATTTTAACAATTAAGCTTAAATTCACAATGAACTTTGGAGGCTAATGGTATACTTCATTTGCACGCAAACAAGTCCCCACACCTATAATTATTATTGTGTGCTAACTATACTTTATACTCTTGAAGTTTGAAGTGATTTTAAAAAAATTGGCCACGAGATTATAATTTTCAAACATTACGCTTTGAATATTGTAAATTGTAAAATGTACACTTTTTGACTCTTTGAATATTTAATCCTCCATTAAATTGATGATTTTTATTTGTCAATGTGGCTTACACATTAGCGCCCATATAAGGTCCCTATGCTCACCATGTCATTAATTTAATGAAGAATCAAACAATCAATCCCACAAAAAGCATGAATTAATACAATTTAATAACTTACAATGTAAAATGAGAGAATTAAAAATTCATGACCCATTTTGAAAATCAACTCAGACCTCAAAAGTTTAAAATGTAGCAACTGTATCATTTTTGTCTTTGACCACAAATATTATACATATAATTAAATAGGTGAGCCAATATCTTAGTGAATAAGGTGTTGGGTTTCTACCTATGCGTTATGGGTTCAAAACTCTCAAGAACAACAACAGCAAAGCCTTATCACACTAAGTGGGGTCGACTATATGAATCATAGAATGCCACTGCGCTCGGTTTTGTGCCAAGTCTTCCGTGATGTCCAAGTACTCTAAGCCTTTTCTTAGAGTATCTTTCCAAATTTTTCTAGGTCTTCCTCTACCCCTTTAGCCCTAAGCCTCTGTCTCATAATCGCATCTTCTAACCGAAGCATTTGTAGGTCTTCGTTTCATATGTCCAAACCATCTACCGATTTTCTCTCATCTTATCTTCATTTTCGGGTACTCCTACTTTACCTTGGATATCCTCATTTCTAATCCTATCCTTTGTCGTGTACCTATATATCCAAAGAAGCATTCTTATCTCCGCTACAGTCATTTTTGTTACGTGTTGATGCTTGATCGCCCAACATTTCGTGCCATAAAGTATTGCTGGCCTTATTGGCATCTTATGAAATTTTCCCTTGAGTTCTAGTGGCATACGACGGTTGCACAACACACTTGATACATTTTTCCACTTCATCCATCCAGCTTGTATTCTATGGTTGAGGTTGTGGAAATATCTCACATCGGCCATATCTCTGTGAAAAGAAGAGTTTAAATATTATATCCCCACTTCAACTAATATCGATGCCTTTTGTCAAAAAACCACACACCTGTTAGGACTGTGTTGGAGGTAATTAACAAGTTGGGGACAACATCAGTGTTGTTAGAAGTGGACCCTTAGCCCATTTTTCTGATAATTCTACATGGTATCAGAGCCAAGAAAAGAGGGCTCGTACTGCCACATGATGGGTGGGTCTTCTTGGCCCCACGCAAGGATGGTCGGTCTCTTGGCCTCGAGTGTTGGGTGAGTCCCATTGGCTCCACGTGGTTGTCGATATGTTGATCTCCCACGTGTGACCCACAAATTTATCTTATATCAGCCGTATCTCTGTGAAAAGAAGAGTTTAATATTATAACCCCACTCTAATTAATACCGATGTCTTTTTGTGATAAAACATCACGCTTGTCAGGACTGTACATGTGGTAATTAACAAATTGGGGATAATATTGGTGTTGTTGGAAGTTGACCTTTAACTCGTTTCTCTGATAATTATACAGAGGTCTCTATCCAATTCTCTGTTATTTTGCAAGATAGATCCAAGATAGCAAGAGCGCTCACTTTTTGTACTTCATGATCTTTAATCATCACCTCTAACTCATTTGAGCCTCCATTCCAACTGAACTTGCACTCCATATACTATATCTTTAACCTACTGAGGCAAAGATCTTTAGATTTCAACACTTCCTGCCAAAGGTTAATCTTCGCATTTACTCCCTCCTAGGTTTCATCTATCAACCTTATATCGTCTACAAAATCATACACCAAGGAATATCTGTTAGACCAAATCAGTGTTTGATTCTTGTTCTCGCGACTTCAGAAGGTTGTGATCAACCCAAACTCTTATCTACGAAGAGTTAGCTTAGGTTACAACTTCTTTAAATGTTTGTTGTTTCTGTGATTTGTTTCCTTTGTATATTCTGTTGTAATTTTTTTAATTTTGAATAGCCTTGTAAATAGGGATTTCATTCCCTGATGTAATTTGAAGTGGAATATAAATACATGTAGATTCTCATTGAAAAAGCATGCAGTTGAAGTGAACTCTTGTGTATTCTTAAGTCTTACATGATATACAAGCCCTAGCAATCCACCGACACAGATCCTAAATTTTTTTTTTCTTTCCAATGGCTGATAACTCGAACGGTGCTGTAACCCCAACCAATTCCGTTCCCAACCGAGCAATCCCTGCCATGAACCCTTTCTCGTCCATGACTATAGTTGTCAACACAAAACTGGATCGAACCAACTATCCTCTGTGGTTGGCTCAGACTCTACCAATCCTCAAGAGTTGTGACCTAATGGGTTATGTCGATGGGTCCATCGTATGCCTTCACAAATAGCTCCTTGGTGCCGCTATCATCAACCCCGTATACACAAACTAGCTGCAACATGATCAAATGATACTAAGTTAGATAAATGGCTCCCTCACACCATCTGTGCTGTCTGTCGTGGCAAGCAAGAAATCCTCTCGTGATACCTAGGAGGCTCTCGAGTAAATGTATGCTTCTTCATCCCAAAATCGCATTTGTTTCTTTGAAATGAACTGATGCCAACTAAGAAAGGAGATATGTCTATTACTGATTATCTTGATCGAATGAACTCAATTTTTAACAACCTTACCCTAGTTGGCCAACCGGTGAATGATGATGAGCTTGTCCAGATCATCTTGAACAATCTAGGCCTTGCTTATGAAATGAATGTGAATGTTGCACAGACATGTGACACTCTAATCACGTACCCTACATTTGAGGCTCTCTTGCTGACAACGGAAAGGAGAATGGCTGAGCAAATTGCTCCTATTGTGGAGACTGCTCTTGTGAATGCATTTATGACTGTAAGAGGTCATGGTGGACGACTTTGTGGTAATGGACGCGTTGTGTCTCCATCTACACGTGGTGATGGTGTTGTCAACTAGCAAGGGTTCCTTCCTTGCAACAACAATCAAAGGCCAAACTCTGCCTGTAACAGTGAGAAATTTACTTTTGTAGGAGAATGATGACTTGCCAAATATGTGGAAAACAAAGGCTTCATGCCCTGAACTGTTACCAAAGAATTAATGTAGCATATGAAGGGCGAATTCCAACAAAGTGGCTTACTGTTATGGCCACATCTTCGATCACCATCAACAACCAACATCATGGACAGTAGCTGCTGGACACAGGTGATAATGCTCATGTGACTCCAGACATTTAGAATTTGGTCAATCCAAAAGAGTATAACGGTAATGAGAATGTTGGTGGTGTAGGTAATGATATTGGCCTTTCTATATCTCATCTTGGTTCAAATAAAATCCAAAACTCAGTCTTGCTCATTTGAATTGAAAAATATTCTAAGGTGTCCCACTGCCTCAACAAATATTATTTTTACCCATAGGTTTATCCTAGACAACAACTGTTATTTACTTATCTTATCTTATTTTTTTTCTTGTTAAGGACCTTAAGACCTGGAAGACGCTTTTCCACGGGAGATGTGAGAATGGCTTATACCCATTTTCTGGTGGCGGTGGACAATTCAATTACCCTATTTCAGTGTGTATAGGCATTCAAGTCTCGGCTCATAAATGACATTCACGTCTTGATCATCCTGCATCATCTATTATCAAGTTTTCAATTTTGAATAAACAAGTACTAGTTCATGGTACTTCTGATGTAATGTTTTGTTAGTCGTGTCCACTGGGAAAAAGTACTAAAATACCATTTAGTGCTTCAGAGTCTGTTTCTCAATTTTCTTTGCAAATTTTACATTCGGATGTTTGGTGTTCTCCAGTTGTTTCAATTGAAGGTTTTAAATATTATGTCTTGTTTTGTGGATGATTATTCTAGATATTCTAGGATCTTTCCCATGAAAATTAAGTCTGAAGTCTTTGAAATATTTGTCAACTAAAGTGAAAAATATGTTCAATACTTCAGTGTGATGAAGGAGGAGAGTACAAGAGTCATGTTTTTCAAAAGTTTCTTGCAACACATGGAATTTCCCAAAGGCTTTTGTGTCCAAAACACCCTGAGCAAAATGGTATTGTGAAAAGAAAACATTGATATATCGTCGAAACTGGTATTGTCATGCTTTCTCATTCCCACATTCCAAAAAAATATTGGTTTGATACTTGTTCAACGACAACTTATTTAATCATTAAACTGCCAACCCAGGTTTTGTCACATAAGTCACCATATGAGAAATTGTTTGCCAAATCTCCAAGTTATGAGACATTGAAGGTATTTGGTTGTAAGTGTTTTCCTTGGCTAGTGCCTTATGCACAAAATAAACTCCAACCCAACTCAAAACCGTGTATGTTTTTAGGTTACTCATTGAACCATCAAGGGTACAAATGTCTGGACTTGTCCACGAGACGAATTTATTTTTCTCATCATGTCCTCTTCGATGAGGACTCATTTCCATTTAAGGAACTCACATCTTCATTAGAGAACATTGATCACACAGGTAGTGTTACAAATCATGATCTTTTGTTTACCTTTCCTATATAAATGTCCACTTCATCCACCAACTCGCTGACTCCTACTCAAATCGTAGTGTCATT